TATTTATCATATTTTCATTTTTTCTACTTTTTGTTATTTTTTTTCATGTTTCTTCCAAATTTCAATCACGTTTTGATACTTTTAGGACTATCAAAATGGTAACATCCATTTAAAAAAGATTGACTCCTAGTGCTTGTTGTAATGTATGTAACTCAACCATTCTAAAATAAAAAGTTTGAGTATAACAATAAATTGATGGATGTAGCCATTACTACGTGGTGGAAGATCATAAAAAATGGCAAATGAAACTTTCAATTTTTTTATCACTTTCATTTGTAACTAATGTTACCGCAGGATATTTTCAAACAATTACAATAGTTTATTGTTTGAAAATGTCCTTATAGGACGATACTTCAATAACATTAGTTACAAATAAAAGTGGTAAAAAAACATAGAAAGTTTTATTTCTCGTTTCTAATTTGAGTATAACATTTTTCAATTTCATAATGAAAACAATAATCATAAATGTAAAAGAAAACGAGTGAAAGAAGCAAGTGAAGAAAAAAATTATTGTTCTTTGAATGAAACGAAAATAGTGAATGAGTTGACAAGAAGGTCAGAAGGAATAACGACAAAAACTAGCAAAAACTGCTCGGTCGATTAAAAGCAAAAAGAATCAATCAATACAATGCAAATAAAACATATCAGACAGATCTGGAAGAAAGTGGATACACTTACTACCTTGAGAAAACTATTGTAAAGCAAAATACGTTTCGCGGTTTTGAAAATCTTTTATAGTGAAAATCAAAGTAATTCTCACAAAACAACTGCATGATCTGCATCAGAATCGAAAACAAATAAATCAAACAGCTCAGTACTTACTGAACTATTATACATACAACATATAACATTAAACTATTTCACTCGATTTCAATAAAATCTATTGGATCATTTCTCGGTCGGTAGCCGGTAGGTTCGACGTGGGTGCTTTGTTCACCCACTCAAATCGACCGCCATGTTGGTCGTTGGTGCAAGCCCCAGGCTGAACGATCGATTTTCACTTGCTATCGTCCAACCCGTATTAACCCGGACAAGTGAGCGACATCACTTGTCCGGCACAGCACAGCACGGCGCTGTCCGTCGCCTGAAGGCAGCGGGTAGTAGCATCACCCACTTGTCCAGCTACAACCAGCATACTGAAGGTGGTGTTTGTTCGATTTCAAGGGAATTTCACTTGAAATTTTTCCTCGTCCATTTTCATAGGTACCGTTTGACACTGTGCTGTCAACTGATGTAATAGCAAAACAGAAAGACATTCCTATTCGTATTTTGACGGGACGTGCCGTGCTGTGCTGTGCCAGACAAGTGGGCGATAAGCTTTAGGAATCACACGTTGAAAGGTAAGACCTTGTTTGTCCTCAGCTCGCACGATTTTCGACTTTTGAGGTTAGTCGTTCGTAAGGGTGAGACAGCTGGTTAACGGAAAAAACAGATTTTAAAACAGAAACAGATTCTAGTTCAGTTGATACTTTCAAATTGTTATTTAAAAAAAATGTTATTTTTATTCGTAAAATTATAAGACAACGATAAAAATAAAAACAATAAAAATTAATTGGCGCTCCGGGGCGACTTCATTGATTCCAGTGGCGCATTTGCTTTTTCAGCTGCAGGAAAACCCGGAAAAACCTGCAGTGCCACATCATGTGAAGATCTTGATCTGCGAATGTCCTCTCTCTCATAAAACAAAATATACAGTGTCTCCAGAGGCTCCGATAGATTCAATACATCGCCAGAACACTTCGTGACACGGCTATCGTCAAACTTAAATCAGTTATTTATAAAATATTTTCGAAATATACGTTTTTCTATAACTACTGGAAAAAGCATGCATAAATTAAGAGTTTTCTGTTGGGTGATTCATAACCAACACTTTCGAACCAATTACAATAGACCAGATTCATAACTTTCTACTTTAGAGGTCATTCGCGTAGGAGCAAATTCATAACTGCATAGCTCTGTCTCAATTATTTTCAATCGCAAGTGAGCCTTGAGACTACTTTAAAATTAGTAAATTATCGTCTCTTGTCTCGTCTTGTTTTATCTCTAATGACAAAAGAGAAGATTTTTCTCTTGAAAAATCGTCTCTTGACAAGACAAGAGATTAGGTCATCTTAGTCAAGACAAGACATGAGAGTCCTCTCTTGACGAGAGAAGTCGAGAGAGGAAAGACATCATGAAAATTCACTTCATTTAGAACCAATTACAATAGACCAGATTCATAACTTTCTACTTTAGAGGTCATTCGCGTAGGAGCAAATTCATAACTGCACAGCTCTGTCTCAATTATTTTCAATGGCAAGTAAGCCCTGAGACTACTTTAAAATTAGTAGATTATCGTCTCTAGTCTCGTCTTGTTTTATCTCTAATGACATAAGAGAAGATTTTTCTATTGAAAAATCGTCTCTTGACAAGACAAGAGAATAGGTCATCTTGGTCAAGACAAGACATGAGAGTCCTTTCTTGACGAGAGAGGAAAGACATCATGAAAATTCACTTCATTTCTCGTGCACAGCCGGCTAAGAGCAATTTCATTTTCATTATCAATACTTAACGAAAAATAATGATTATATTTTCAATTTTTTCAACACAGTATCTGCTGTTTCTACTTGGCTAGTAGTTATTATAGTTCCAACCACTTCCACCACTAAACACAATCACTAATGATACCATAACAATAAAGACTTTAGCAGCAGAAATCAGGGCGACGGATTTTTTTTAGATATTTACTAATGCACAGGATGTTCGTTAAGAGGGTGACGTATCAAAGTTGAGTTCATTTTAAATGGAATGAAATATATTTTCTTTTTCGTAATCGGTTTTCGTTAGGAAAGTTCTTTCAAAAAATGAATGATTGAATGAAGACTTATCAAGAAATGAAATAATTATGCCAGAAAAAAAGTTGAAAAGTTGATATATTCAACCGTGCATATTTTTAATGAAAAAAATCTAAAGCAAATTGAACTTCAAACGTTCAGGCCAGTCTCTATATACCTATGCANAATTAATTATATTTTGAGAGTATTTCCAAATTTTTTTCAATGAGTTTTTATGAACATGGCTGAGGATGAATACATTCATTTTCAGACATTTTTTTAGTAACTTCTGAACTTCTTGGTATATACCTATATATAACATAACTTTGATCCCCCACGCTTTTACTTGGTACCCTATATATTGGTTGATATTTCAAAAATGTTCAATGCATTGATATCTGAAACCATTTTACCATCGCTCCTACAACTTCTAATGGAAGCTCTATGTGACACACACTTTATACTGTCTTGAATATTAATACCAGAATGAGGTATTTCAAAGTTACACACAATCAGTAAATAGCCAATATTACTGCTAATCGAATGAATTTGATGCAATGTTTGAGTATTTATATAGTGTTGTGAATTATCCCCTCGAAAAATTACGCCGGCTGCCGCTGGTTTTCGTCAATAGATAGTGATCTGGCCAAGGTCGCGCTAAAGTCAACTTACGTTTCTCGATGGTTTTAGATGTAGCGTCGCTTCGAGGGACTTCCAGAGACTTTCCTATCGGCTTCCAGAGACTTCCATCACGATATATAAACACTGCCAACAGGAAAATCAAGAAAGTCCAGTAAAAAGTGCGGTACGAAGTGATCTAATAAGGCAATAGACATTTGATTATTAATCCGACATTTCAGCTGAAGTGTTCGTGTTGTATTGTCAGTTGAGTTTGTACAGTGTAGTTGATTATTGTCAAACCCACAGGAAAATCAAAACAATAGTATTATTGGCTTTTGCCTAGAGGTGTAAACGTAGCACAGGTCAAAGCCGATTGAGTATTAATGATGCTAACTTGTTCAGCGAAATGCTCGTCAAGGGACGGTAATTTTGTTATAGTGTGAGAAATGTGGTTTTAGCAGATTCATTTCACGCCAGAGGTTTCAATTCTTATCATGAAATTCAGTATATCTTTGAGAAACACGTTACCCTCTTATTGCAAATTCCTAATATCAAGAATACCTTCTCTCGTCGGAAGAAACACTACTTTCGTCAAGACGAGAGAGGAATCAAGAAAAGACGTGAGAAGATATTTTCTTGTCTTGACAAGAGGCAACACTATTCAAAATAGGCTCTCATATATCATATATAGCCACTTAATGCATTTTTTTCATTTTTCCATTCATACAATTTCCAAACTATTTTTTATTTCATAAAATAAAGAAGATATTTTTGAATGACTTTCACAAATTGCTTTCTGTTGTGACATTTATTTATAGTACTCTCATTTGTGATATTCTTCACAAATGAATCTTATTTAACAGTAACAGTTTAGTACTCTCTAGCTGGGTTCATTTTGTCGAGTGTGAATAGGTGCTACAATAAACTCTTGCGGGTTGCAATGGAGGGTCGAATAGACCCACTCACTTTGGACCTAACCTAATCTAACCTCAGTACTCTCTGAATTCTCTGGTTTTTATTCGATCCAATGATTCACAACTAGCCTTCGGCAGGCATTGACTCGCGAGTAATGGCCAAATTTTCCGTTCGTTGAATAATTACCTATTGTCTAATGCTGGTGGCATTCTCAAACGTCACAAAGGAAGGAAAGCAAAGTTTCCAAACACGAACCAGTTGTAAGACTTCAGAGGGTAATCTCTCTCTTTATTTTCATATCAGTAATGATTATCGTGGAATTTTCAAAGGCATTATATATTTCAGATAAAACAGGTACAATAAGAATCATTATAACTAAGACGAAATAGGGTAAAAGATAGAAGTGAACTCTTAAACTTCAGAAGGCTGTAAAATAGAGAAATAGCCCCTAGGACTGGTTGAACAGATAATAAAATTGTTTATCGAAAGTTGTTCAAAAGGTTTCAATATTTATATAAATTGAGTAGTCAGTCATTGGATGACGAAAAGAAATCATGTCATCTAACACTCAACCACCTGGTTTCTCAGTTTTTATAAAAATATCTCTGGAATACAAGTATTTTCAATATCTAAACTGTATTAGTCTCTTCGTCATTTACAAACACCAAAGAATAGAGATCCACTCACCTTACAATACCCGTCGATACATACTCCTCTGGTTCCTTTAGGAGCAGTTTTTCCTGTATAGGTCGATGGGTATAAGCACCTTGTTCCGTCGATGACTGTCTTATTGAGGGTTGCGAAAAAATTCATCCCTACTGCTCGACAGTTGAGGGCACATTCATCTTTTACTGAAAATGAAAGGTCAGAATGACATTTTCGTTTGTCGTTCAATGAAAGAATATGAGTTAAATATACGATGGTATTGGCCAATACATGATAAAATCCATGATAACATATTCAAGTGACACTTAACAGTTTACAGAACGCCAATACGTATTATACTACACAATAGCTTCTTCAGGCATATTCTACTAACTGAATCCTACTCAGTGATTGACTTCACTACTTAATTACCAATGATTATACCTCAGTCGAAGTTATCCTTGGTTTGCAGATTTTCATTCCTGACGATTCCTCTACATTATCATATGCAATGAGGCAACAGAAGAAGTGCTAGAGTTGTTCTCACAGCAGGAACTGTTAGTACCCAAATTCAATTCCCTCATTGAATAAAATTTAACCAATTTTCCGATTAGACTTGTAGTGTCATGTGTAACGCTGCATCCGTAAATTCTTAGAAATGATCATGAAATTTATTCAAATCTATACTAATTTCATGCCGCGATTCAGTTTAAGTGATACCTACCAACTACTTCCTAATAACGTCCCCTTATAACGCCAAATTGATATAATTCGATGTCCAAAATTGAGAAACTGAGCACAGTCAAACAGAAAATTCTAGATATACTCACCATTTCTCTGTGTAAAGGTTATTTCCAATTTCCAAGTTTCTTGACGTAACGAGGACTAATAGAAAACCCTTTGATGGCTGATATAAATACGTTTAAATCTGTTTAAACGGTACAGGTACATTTTCATACATATTTCCTCAATACATCTCTATAAACATAAAATAGTAGCATTTGGTTGTATGCTCAACAAACTATTGAATATTTCATTATTGGAAAGTAACATTTTATCTACAATGCTTGCAAGGTGGATATTATCAACTCTATCCTTCACTTAGACGAGTCTTTCAGAACAAATAATAATTCAGGCAAATTTATTAAAAACAATGAAGACAAAACTTGACAAAAGGTATGGTTCTTGTCCAAAACTTTATACAGAGCAAACCAATGATAAAATAGAATTGAGTAATTTCCCGTTTATGTAATTTGTTTTCCAATATTTCTAAACAGTTGGTACGTAAACTCAGGCATCTTTATTTGAATACATGCCAATTCAAAAGAGTTTGCTTGTTGATTTTCTTTTCCTCATGTTTGAATTGATAAAAAGTTCATAGTGAACCCCGGTAATATTATTAGTAACCAAGTAGGTATAAAAGTGATATAATTCATGAAGCAGCGGCAGATAGGATTAGGTTAGTACGAACATGCCTGATAAAGTTATTTAGTTCGAACATGACTGAAGAAGTTGCTGTATAGTGAAACACATATTGCGGTTTTGTAAACCGTTTAGAAAAAATCTCATAATGAAGTTTTACTGAAATACTTCAAATTGAATATATTTCTCCTCATTAAAATGGAAAGAAACCTAAGGACGACAGTGCACCGCACAGCCTATGCTTATTTTAGTGATAGTGTTCGAAACATAAAATACATCAATGATTATGTGTAATAACAATTATTGAAAGTGATCTGTCTCTACGTTTATGCACACCAAACTTCGATAGGGCATAATCAATTTGATAATATAATTGTTATTTTCAACTATTATTTTTTAATTATTCTTTTTTACTTGTTTCAGGGATTTCAAATCATTTTATATAGTATAGAATGGAAGTCCGAACTAGTGAAATTCATCACGAAACATTGTCAATCACCTTCAAACAAATGTGATGTGGTAAGTTTCACTTACCACAATACATTTAGTATTGGAGTTATTCAAATCGGTTGATAAGTAATGATTATGTCAATTAAAAAATTCACGTCAAACATATGATGGAAAAACTACTATAATAATACTATTCAGTTGATTTGGCTGACACTTTGGTTTATTATATTTATAGTTTGTGAATCGATTTTTCAATACATGAGATTTTTTCTGCTTGGAAAATCTAATGAGAATTACAAATCGTCAAAATTTATAAAAAATCGGAGAAGACAGTAGAACAGACTGATCTGGTCTACTGTCTTGCGGTAGAAAATATTTGCTGTTGGAAAATATGGGAAAACTTTGAAACTGAAGTCAGTGTAAACGAGGTCGCAGCCAACAGTCAGTTGTAACATTGAATTATTTCAAAACTAACAAATTATTGACAGCACTGAAAATGTCACATTATTTTTTTAGGATTTTCGGCGAGTGTCTTGACGAAAATTCATGATAGCTAGATATGAAAGTCACAAAATAGGCTCAAAAAATCGTAATTCATTTCATATCAATCCTTTACACTTCAAAATGAGGAAAAACAATGAAATTCTTTCTGCTTGAGAGCTGATTTGATTGTGTTCACGATATTGTTACAATTCGTGTGACAAAATTTTGTTGAATAAGTGGTACACATGTATATTATCGACTTCATTCAACAATTCAGTACGTACCAATTTAAAAACGCAATCCAAGAATTATTTCACTGGTTTCTTTCACTTGATTGATTATATATTGATTCTTTTCATTTCCATTACATGGATCAAACGTGTGTGGGTGTTTAATAATAATCAGTTGTCGCTCCTAACGAAAACTATCAAAAGTTGGAGCTTGTGCGAGTTAAGGTTTGAAGAGGTCTCACCTTCCAACATGCGATTACTAGCACACTGAATATAAATCACTCAACAATTGGAATGGAACCACTGCAGTTGATTGAATGAGTAGAATAGCATACTCACGCTAACCAACCAGCTACTGTATCTTCAGATACATTCAACAACGTCATTAGTTTCTCTGGTCAACAAGGGTGAACAAAAGACCAAATTTTGGTTAAGAGTTTTGGTTCAGATATGGTGTACGTTTTCGGAATAATTTGGAGCTCAGTTTTAGTATTTTACGTTGATCTCGTATTTAATTCGACTCCACTAAGACACGAATTGAGGGGGAAACATAAACTTTTCTCGCTTACTAGGGTAAGAGAAAGACCTTTTACAAGTTCTCTGATTTCCTAGACGAACTTGTTGCCAAAGATTGTATCATTTACATCATTCTCCAATGTCCACGTAACAGCCGACCCAGTAGTTTCTCACACTAGCTCTTCGAGTTGTGAGTCTTATTGAAGCACTTCCGGTGGTCGTATCTGGGATCCCCCATCATCGATATATTAACCAGTACCAATCTTATCCATGGTCCATATAGGTATGACAATAGAGTTGTGGCATGTATTAGTTTTCAATTGAAGGAATGCAAAATTTTAATATATGACATACTCGTCGGAACCAAACCAACGAACCAAAGTTACGTGAATGAAAACGAAGATTTCCGTTTCAGCCCAAACAAACTGAATATATTAGTTTGAACGAAATAAATATATATCTGAAATACATTCACAGTTCAATGACTACAGTCATTAAAGTTCACTCTTCACATCTTTGGTTATCTCCTACTTCCTGGTTTCATCTCAAATGAAGATCTAGAACACTACTCCTTATACAAATACAAGTAGTACTTAATTTATATTCAATTGAACTAACAGGAAAGCGCACCATCTTCCTGCAGCTTTATTTTCTCCAAGACTGCAAATGCAAAATCGTGACTACATATACAATAGAAAACGCTCACCTTTATGAGACAGTGTTACATAACATAAATGAAAATTTTTCGAAAATTAGGTAATTTAACGTTCATTAAATTCAATACAGATGTTGACAGAAAGGATATCAAATATTTATTTGAACCCATTAGATTAACATTCTTGATGGACTGATATTTGAAAGGTTTATCTGACATGAATGAATGTATTCATCCGAATAACTTGCCATATTCAATTACAAATAGGCATATCATTCGATTAAATTCAATACAGATGTCTTATGATGGAACAAATTTCACTCAGACCAAAAAAATACATATAAAATAAATCAAAATACCATGTTCAGATCAATTTTAAAATTTGATGGAGAGCATATTGGGATATTCTCTATCCAACTGAAATATTTTTGACAATGTGGTGTCGCCATTTTCATTGAATATTCAAATGAAACACTCTGTATATAATATTTTTGGAATCTATAACAGTATTACTCGATAACTTTTCTTGATAATTCCCTATACCTATCTGTTTATGTTTTCACAAGATTCATTGGGTTCAACGAATTAGAATCTTCTTCAGCACTTCTAATCGATGAATCAAGAAATGTGAATATGCTAAGACAATAATCTGGTTGTTTTTAGCAGTTACGGGTTGAGGCAAGTTTCTTGATCTTTTTGAAAATGATCCAAATGTATGACAGTGTCTTGAATTCGAATAAATTTTTTGAGGTTCATTAGCGGTAGATTCGAGTACCTTCCGTTGAACTTTCTACATGCTCTGATGATAATTTTATCACACTTTCCAAAAATAATCAACAAATTCATAAGAATTTCACAGAATCCAAAAATAATATCATATACAGGGTGTTCCTTTTGAAAAATCAAAGTTGATACTACTTTCCAATAGAAGTGGCAACACCGCATTGCCAAAAATATTGTAGTTGGGTAGAGGATGTTCGAATATGCTCTCCATTGAATTTTCAAAGTGATGCGATGGCTGGTTCAACAAAAATATCTAATGTGGAAAAAGTGGATGTAGTGAGTAAATTATTGTTCATATTATTACAGTTAGACATTTTCCAGTAAACTGTCGTAAGTACAACGAATATGTATATACTTAATGGAAATGTGATTTCTCCAAATCTTAAATGCACATATAATTCAAGTTTTGAAGAAATCCTATCGTCTCTTCTGATTGCTGGAGTTGTAAGACCACTACTGAGAGTATTATGTCACTGAACTGCATATTAAAGTGTATAATAAAATAATAAAATAAAAATAATAAAATAAAACATGACTTCGTCATTCAATATTATGGCGAATGATCTGGGTAACTCTCACATCATTTTAAATGATTTATTTATTTTAAACATTTCTGTTCCAAATTCAGATCATAGGCGGATCATAGGCATATTTCTTGGAATATATA